ACTACAACTTCAAACTGATGTTTTAGTAGATTATGTAACTGAACTCGCAAATGCTTTGAACAAAATCCATGCCCAAGTTTTCTCTTCAATTCCAGATCCTGATTCTGACACAGGCAACCACAGTCTGCTCCCCGGTGACTGGGTTCTGGTCAAGAAATTTGTGCGAAAACACACCCTGGAACCAAGATTTGACGGACCGTTCCAAGTTCTCCTGATCTCCCCTACCTCTGTCAAATAGGCCGGAAGGCCTAACTGGATCCACGCTTCCCACTGCAAGAAGACACCTGCCCCAGAGGAAGCTAACTCTATGCAACCATGTGCCTCTGGTACATTATCTCCTTAGTTGGCCTCCTTAAAGCCCAGCAGGTGGCCATCACCAAAGATGCTAGTGGGTACACCTTCTGGTATAATTCATCATGTACCCATGTGGCTACATTCACTTTTGATTACTGTGATATTGTAGAGTGCCCATTCCCTAAGTCACAGATTCAAGCCATTTATAAAGATATACCACAAGCAAAAGACCCTTACGTTTGTGTAGTAGATGAACAATGGGGTTGTGACTGTAACTACTGGGGGGCTGCGGGATGGAATACTGGGCCTGCCTGGGGTTATAAACCCAAAAGTGCTTTATCTAAGATAGACAATCAGGGTAGATTCCTCCTTCAAAGAATGACTTTAAGAAAGCCTGGAGGAAGTACCCCTATGAAATTAATGTTAAATATTGAACATCCTGGCCCCAAGGATGCAGACCGATATGTAATGGGAATGTATTGAACGAAAGGTTCCTACAACAAATTAGGTCATTTCTACCTCAGAGATATGTACCACTCTCCAGAGTGGCAAGGGGCTGATCATATGGTCCCAAATCCGCTAAAACCACATATCCAGTCCTTTAAAGATATGATGGTCATCGCTAACCCCACTTTTGAAGATACCATGGCCGCTGAAACTGGATTCAATTACATTAATTTGTGGTTAGAATGGATGAGGTATAATGCTAACAAACATAATAAAACAGCATGTTATGTATGTGGCGGTGCCCGACCCCACCTTGGCACCGTCCCCCTAACTCTCCCTTTAGAGATAGAAGATTGCTTCTTAAGCCTTTTGCCTACCAATATGACTTTAATAGGTCCCTCTGCATGGCATGGACGGCAGAATACCCTCTCTTAGTTGAAAATGTTAAGCCACCAGATGGAATCACAGTCTATAGAGGTAATTACACTTGTTATGCCATGTATGACGGGATTGGTAAATTCATGGGTAATTTTTCTAAAGGTTATTGAGCCACTTACAGAACTGTTCCTATACGCCTGTTGCAACACCATACCAGGTCATTGGGAGATATTTACTGGTTATGTGGGGATCTACAGTTAAGATCTAGGCTGGAAACTGAGTGGTGGGGTGAGTGTACCCTGGCCAAAGTTATCATGCCCATTCATATTATTTCTGATAATCATCATGACACATACGACCCTCCACATACATCAGCCAGAGTAAGGCGCGAAACCCCAGTAAAAGGCAGTTTTGACCCCCACATTTACATAGATGCCATTGGGGTGCCTAGGGGGGTACCCAATGAATTTAAAGCTAGAGATGAAGTAGCTGTAGGTTTTGAATCACTTTTTACCATAGTCACTGCCAACAAAAACCTTAATTGGATTAATTATATCTATTACAACCAACAGCGCTTCGTGAACTACACCAGGGATGCCCTCCAGGGCTTGGCCGAGCAATTACAGGCCACATCCCAAATGACCTTCCAGAACAGACTGGCCTTAGACATGATCTTAGCCGAAAAAGGGGGAGTCTGTAAAATACTTCCCGACACTATGACTTGTTGCACTTACATTCCAGAAAACACAGGTCCTAATGGTAAAGTCACTCTGGCCATAGCTAAATTAAATAGACTCTCAGAAGAGTTAAAGAGAAACTCTGGAGTTACTGATCCCTGGGAAAAATGGTTTGGTTGGATGACTGGTTGGCAGAGAGCTTTAGTCCAGATTGGTATTGCCTTACTAATTTTTCTTTTTATTCTCGCTCTTCTCATTTGTTGTGTCCTCCCATGCCTAAGGAAATTCCTGCAGAAAACTGTAGACCAAGCAACACCAACCTTCACTCATCTGACAATCGATGATCAAGACCTCATCTCACCCTGTATTCCGCTACAAACTCTCCCGTTATACTGATGAAGTGCAGAAAGTCTAGGAAGGGACAGTACAGGGACAGCGTCCGTCTTTATGGGTAGACTGCCGTACGGAGAAGTAGTGGATAAGCCACTATGGGTTACCAGCGGAGTGAAGAGTGTTCCTGAACCGTACTGACGGATGTGCTGCAGCCTGTTAGGGTCAAGAGAGGGATAGACTTGCACTTTGCATTAACACTAAGTCAGCGGTCATGGGGTTTCTGTGTCTTTGGGCTAATACTTCTTCTGATACTAACAAATAAAGTTTTGTCTTTTAGCAAATAACATTTTAGGGGGGACTGTTGTAGAATT